ATTTTTGCGTGCCAAAAAATGCATGCCAAGGCTTAAAGCAGCAACAACGCTACACATAAAAACTGATGATGGTGGAAAAATACACCGAAACGTATCTTGATTCATAAATAGAGACAATAAATAAACGAAACCCAGGAATGAATTTGATTTGAAATTGAAACACAGTCAGGAAAGTATATACAATGAAGTATTTTTAAGCAAAAATACCAAATAGAGCACTTTTGAGTAAAAAGTAAAGCGAAACAAAATTCAGTCAAAACTAAAAAACCACATTTTTTAACAAATTCTAGTCTTCAGAGGAATGAAGAGTTCCAAATAATCTGTTATAAATTATAACAGTACTAAGCCCAACTTTTTCCAATTTGACGAATTCGATGTCTTTAATCGTCGAAAAACTTTGAGCAAATCACACGTATAACCGGCGATTTGGCGCTTGTAGGCCTGGCCGCTTGGCCACAATATCATTGGGTTGTCAAAAAATGGGCCTACTATACCAGACATGACGGAATAATCCGGAAATTCACTGCTATGCTGGTGGAGAGTTTTCCAAATATTGATTAAATGCGTTTGTTTTCTCTGGCCAAAAAGCAGTTTTTGTGAATATTGAGGCTTTAGAAAAAACAGTAACTTTGCTAAAACTGGAAAATTCTGAAGAAATGTTAAAAATGTTATTGATAAATGGCCCATAAAATTGGAAGTTACTGCGCCTCCAAGCCGTTTGCGTAGCACTGCGCCAACTCCTAAAAATTCACTGAGTTACCCAGGCCTACTTAGTATCGGAACTTGAAGGCTTAATTGTATAGATAAGCTATTGAAAAGTGGAGTGCGACCATTATTTTCTCCTTTGGCCGTTCAAAAAAACCTTCCACGTTGGAATCGCTTGGCAAACGAAAATAAGTTTTCCATAAGACGGGATGGAAATTGAAATTTCCACTCATGCCAATAATTTCCCCGTCCCTTTTGCCTCCACCGTCTGAACTACTTTCCTTTCATTTATCTCAGCTCATAAGGCATTTTGAGGACGGGCAAATAATACGACGAATTTGCCACTGATAACCTACTGATCAATGCGCCTCTAAAATCACTTTGCCTACCAAGAGTGATTGATAAAGTCGCGATTGCGTAACTTTCCACATTTCTAGTGCATGTTTGCGCGATTCAATCAGCTTCAAGTCTGAATATCGCTCACTTCTACCCCATCAAACAGGAACATCCGGAAATATTCCGGCCATTAATGCATAATTCCCGAAAGGCCTAAAGGCTGGCTGTTTCAATCAAACAGATAAATAGGATTTTAAATTGAGCCTCTCGTCGCTCAGCGAATACATGAATGTTGATTAGCCGGGGTTTCGGGAACGTTTCGGCGTTAGCTGAGCCATCCTCCAGGCCAATCGCCCAATCAGTTTTTCCAGAAAGTTTCCCTGTTAAAGCTTAACGCGAGTGAGGTGCAAAAACTGAAGACGTCGATAGGTAATCCAGACACTGAACAAACTCAATGGAATTAATCTGTTTTTTACTGAGACCTGCTGTTGTTTCAATTGGTGTTTTTGGGAGTGTTTTTTCATGTTGTTGTCTTGCCTGTAGGCAAATGAGCGCGATGTTTAAACGAGAAGTTTTTGAGGGCGAAACCACCCATAAAAAGTTGTTGACAATTTCGAGTTTGATGTGATTTGAGGTCGCATTAATTGCGAACACTCCCCCAAACTGATATTTATTCGAATTAGTTGCGTCCGAACTTAATCCGACGTTTCGCGTCTGCAGGAATCCCTCAATAAGACCCTCACGAACTAATTCATTATCCCGCGTTAAGGAAACGGCTGCTAATCATTCCAGCGCACGTTTCCTTTAATTCGCCACAAACACATCAATGGACTTTTGATGAAAGCTAGCAGAACAATGGAGAAAGCCGTTTTTCAGGAGAATTTTCCCAGTTTTCCTCTTACCAATAGATCAGCAATGGCTAGATGCATCAGCATAGTGTTGATCCTTGAAGGCTGGTGTCGGCGCCGCTTCATTAACAACACTAAAACTGTTATGTTGGCAATGGCCGAAAACACCATGAGAACACTGTAGACTGCAATGGACAGTCTGTGGCCATCGTTGAACTGCATGTTGATAGGCAGATGATGTTCCGCGTCTGCAATGTTTGTGGTGTCGGTCCATTCCAACAAGTTCCGATGATCCTCCACAATATTCCCGGCGTCGGGAGAATCTTTCGCTTCTCTCATTTTTCACGTTGACACCGTGCGATCTGTAACAAACGCATAATTATGTTAATGTTCGAACGGAGTTTATACGGAAGTATTATAATGTGATTGCGACTACATCAACTATTTGTTGCGTTAGCTGAAATAAATGTCTTGTCGTATCAAAGTGTCGATTACCCACCTGTACAAGAAAGCGTCCGAATTAATAAGTTTTCTCGCGAAATTTCAACTCCAGTTTAGAAAACTCGAATTAAGGTTCACCCGGTTTCGGCAAATGCTTTTGTTGCCTCCATTGTTCTCTCCCTTCTATTGTTTTGCAACGTTAATTCCGTTTTAAATGCCCGAAGATTACAGACACAGACTTCCATTTCCAAACATTCTTGCCGAATAGTCTACTTTGTATTTCTCTTCGGTCTTTTTTGCAAATCGCTCTTGTGAGCCGTTTTTATGGAGCTTTATCTGTTTAAGAAAATAGCGGACTTGACTAAAAACATGCATTTTGGGATCGATACTTGTTAGGTTGGAAAACAGCGGGAATCAAGGTGGTTTTTAGAGCCTTCCATAGAGCCAAGCGCGTTCTAAAGATGGTAAAAATATCAAATTTCTGTTTAGTTTCATTTGGAAGATGCGAATTTTTTAAGGTGCAGGGGAAGTTGAGAAAAGCATCCACTTTGCGATCGGAATCGGTATTAGTTGGCAATATTTTT